GCAGGTTTTTTTTTTTTTTTTAAGAGATGGGAAGGGAACGGGGCTAGCCTAGAGCAGGGGCTCAGACATCAGCCCTCTCTACTTCTGTCCCTACTCTCCCTCCTCTGAGAGGGCCCAGGGGCCAGAGAGGACATGGAAAAAGTGGGCAGGTTGAGGACCCAAGTCCTGTAGCCCTTGGCTCAGTGGGTGGAGGTTACCCAGGCTAGTCTTGAACTCTTGGCCTCAAGTGATCCTGTCACTTCAGCCTCCCAAAGTGTTGGGGTTACAGGTGTGAACCACTACACCTGGCTCTATTTTTCAGCCCTTCTGAGGGGCCAGGCATTGTACTAACCAATCTTGGGCTCACAGAATTAAGGTTGGGCTTCATTAGACCAGTTCTCTGTCACCACGGGCCTTCTACGAGCCGGGCCCTAGGCGCATACGCTATGACTCTCGGTCCCTCACAGCCCTAAGAAGTAGGCACTGTTAGTATTTACCCTCCACGAATGGCAAATGAGGTACAGTAAGAGAGATTAGCAAGCTGCCAGGGTCCCCAGCCAATAAGGGGAGGAGCTGACTTGGACCCATGAACATCTGTCTGCCAGAGGGTCCACCTGCCTCAGTGCCTCACAGGGTGCCTCAGGCTGAGGAATGACTCAACTATGGCTGGTCTCAAGCCCCTCCCACCCCTGAAAGTTTGCTGTGTTGATAATCTCCCTTATTCTGCCACATTTGAATTCTATCTCCCATCCCACCCTATCTCTCTTGTCCTCAAGGCTTCTTTCCCTCCCTTCCTTCCTTCTCAGACTCCTCTCCCCCCTTTTCCAATCCCATTCCCTGTCCTTCCCTGGGTGACATCGTTCCTCCATCTGTTCTCTTCTACATCCCCTCACACCCAAAGCCCCCACCTCTCCCTTCTCCTTTTTATTTTCTCCTCCCCGATTCTCTCCCACCAGTTCCTGTTTATAAACTCAAAATATCCAGGCAGAACAGGCTGCACGTCTTCCTCTGCCCTCTGGGCACTGGAGCTTGGGTAGGAAGGACGTGCTGGCACCAGCGCAGGGAGCGGGAGAGGAGCCTCAGGGCAGTGGAGCCAGACTCTGCCTTGGCGAGGCTGGGCCCCACTGTCCTGCGCGCTGGACCAGGCTGGCAGATGGGAATTAGGACAAATGCTGGGGTGGCATGTGAGGGAGCAGGGCAAGCCTGAGTCCAAACACGTAGGAGTCACAGGAGCAAGGCCCAAGGTGACTGCAGACAGACAAGCAGCTGCAGGGGAAATGGTGGCTGCTCAGAGGATGATGGGTACCTGCTGCTCCAAGGGGCTGGGCCCACCAGAGGGTACCTGAAACTGGCTTAGGGGCTGGGAAGGTGAGTGCAGCCTCCTGAAAGGGCTTGAGGACAGTTAGAAACTCATCCATCCTGTTAGTCCTGAAATAGATGCTCAGCCCTGGGGGGCAGATAGACAGGGCTCCTGCTCTCCTGGGGCTTACAGTCACATCATAGGTGTTGAGGGTCCTCCTGGTTTGTGTCAAGTTCATGACTTCTTTTCATCAGGGTTTCACTTTCCAGGTTGACTTTCCTTACCTACTGGAATTGAGTTTTAGGTGGTATTTTGGAATCCACGAAACTATGAAAACTAACAAATATAAGGACTTTGTGTTTATGCTCTTTCTAATCCAGCTGTGGGAAAAAGAAGTGGAATAGAGGAAGGTGGAGGACCATGAAGGAAGTGCTGTCTTTGGTCTTTAGGACGCTGGGGACGTTGTCAACCTCCAGAACTGGGACCCTCTCCCTACATTTCATTTCCCCAGGCAACACATTGTGGCCTAACAGAAGTTACAAAGTCTCAGCGCCACGTGGGGAGGAACACACCAGGTGAAAGAGGTGGCAGGGCCGTCACCCTGCCTGTTCCCTTGTAAGTGACTTGCCCAGACTGGGGTTAAAGCCCATGGTTCTAGTTCTCACATCAGCACTTCAATATTGCCAGCATTCTGGGTTCTTCATCTGTGATTGAAGAGGACATGCTGATTTTGTAGTTTCCAAGGGTCTGCTGTGGGATCTTAAAAGTTGGATGGAACTGTCCCCATTGGCCACAGGTGAGGCCAGGGCTGGGCTGGGTCATTGGGCTGGGGGCTGAGACATACCCTGTCCAAGGAGATGTGGGAAATCTGGAAACGCAGAATGATGACCCAGATGAGGCCCAGAATGAGCGTCTGGTCTCCGTCCACAATGTTCTCTGGCCCGATGAAAGGTATTGGCACCTGTGAGCATAGTTGGCTGAGCTAAGCTGTGTCTCTAATAGTCCAGGGGGCTGGGTGCCAGATGGGAGGCTTCTGGAATCCACCCTGTCCCAGCTGGGAGAAGCAGGCAGGGGACAAGGCCAGGAAAGCAGAGACTTCTTGCCTGATTGGAGCCTTGGCCCCAAGACCACCTGGGTGAAGCCCTGACCTGGGGAACTGGGCTGGGTCACTGGAGCAGGAGGACTCCCTGAGTGTGAGCTGGAGTGGGTGGACTCCCTGGGTGTGCGGTACAGGTAGACCCAGGCCAAGATCAGCGGGTCAGTTAGAGGGGTTGGAAACGAGGGGTCGTAACAGTCAATACATGAGCCCAACATACACCAGCAACTGTCTGCCTCCACCTTCCAGGATGTCTTGGAATCTCCAAGGGTTGGCAGGGTCCCTGGGCTCATACTGAATCTCAGTCCTCTTCATCAGTGTTCTAGCTCCAGCAGAGCTGGCTGAAAATTTAGATTCCCAACAGACTCTCTTGGATGAGGGCCCAAGAATTAGCATTTGAACAACTCCTGGGGTGGTTCTTAAGTGCAGGAAATCCCTCTCCTCTATATCTTGCCACTTGGACAGGGAGGATGGGTGAGTCAAGGAGAGAAAGGCCCAAAGGGTTTGTCCCCAGTCCCCTCTGGCTCCATCTTCCACCCTCCTGAATCATCATGCAGCTCCAAGGCCCATGGGAGCCTTATAGTTCCATGAGATCCTAAGTATAGACCGTCAGGCCTTTGCACTGTGTCCCTGCTGTCTGATAATGTCATTCCTCCCCTGTCGTCCCAGCTACTCAGGAAGCTGAGGCAGAAGGATCGCCTGAGCCCAGGAATTTGAGGCTGCGGTGAGCTGTGATTGTGCTACTGCACTCTAGCCTGGGCAACAGAGTGAGATCTATACTCCAAAAAACAAAAAAACAAAAACAAAAAAATCCTCCCATCATAGCAAGTTCAAGCTACAAGCACATCACCAAGCAGGAAGTTTGGAGGATCAGCTCTCACAAGCTGGTAGGAGCAGAACACCCCACTGACCAGATGCTCCAGCCCCAAACTGATGGTAATACAGATGTGATTAACATGCCAGGAATTGGAGGGAGGAGCATGGGGTGGAATCCTCTAGAGGCCAGCTTGGTACAACCAAGTGTACGCAAGGGGCACATGGGGGATGCAGCTCTTCCCATAGGCTCGTGGTCAGCTGAAGCCAGTGGCCCCTCGGGTCTTATGAAGAGTCTCACTCCCTCTTTTTCTTCATCCAGTGCTTATTTACTGATCCCCTACTATGCCCCTGACACTCTGCTAGGTGCTTGGAATACGTCAGGGAACAAAACCAAGATTCCCACCCAAGCAGGGAAAGGGAATTAAGCATGTGGCTGTGGATGGGAGGAATAGTCCTTGGGTTTTTATTTTATTTTATTTTATTTATTTATTGTTTTTTTGAGTCAGAGTCTCACCCTGTCACCCAGGCTGGAGTGCAGAGATCATGGCTCACTGCAGTTTTGAACTCCTGGACTCAGGCATTCCTTCTGCCTCAGCCTCCCCCCAGTAGCTAGGACTACCAGCGCACGCCACCATGCCTGGCTAATTTTTTTGTAGAGACAAGGTCTCACTATGTTGCCTAGGCTGATCTTGAATTCCTGGGCTTAAGAAATCCTCCTATGCCAGCCCCACAAAGTGATGGGATTACAGGCGTGAACCACTGTGTCCATCCATTATGGGAGTACTAATGCTGTAGAAGTCAGCAAATATATACGCTTTTATTTCCCCCAGAGAGTCAGTTGTTAAACATTTACCAGCACACCACTGATCTGGGTTAAGTTTATCTGTGAAACTATAGATACCTTATAGGTCAGGGTCTGGGCTTTGCTCTGAATGCCCAGCGCATGGTAAGGTCAATGAATGCTGCCACATTCTATCACTTTTGGCTTAGAATCCTGCATTCTGTCTCACTGCAGACAATTACATTTTCAGTCCCAATTGGGTACTGTCTGTCCCTGCCTCAGCCAGCTGGGTACACTGCAGGTCAGAGCACTGTACAAGGAGGATTTTGCTTACTGCTTGTCTCTGGGTCCCGGCTGCCCCTCCTTTATTCAGGCACCAGACCCTCCGCCTGCCTGCGGCCCAGCCCAGGAAAGATGACCCACTAGCCCAGCCTGTCCCAGCTGCCCACCCCAGCACCACGCCCAGAAGCCCTTTCCCTGGAGCTCACCTTGGCCCTGAGGAATGCCAGAGCCCGGCTGCTATTCTCTAGAAAGTGCACACGCATGCGGCCCCGGCTTGGGGGTGGCAGGGCCTCGCCCGAGATGAGCTCCAGCAGCCGCAGGAGGTGGGTGCCGTCGGCCAGCTCTGTGTACAGGTTCCGGATCTTGATGTTCACCTGGGGAGGGGACGGGAAGGTACAGTTCAGCCCAGCCTCACCTGTCTTCTCATCCTGGGGCGTGGGAGGTACAGCCCAGAGCAGCTGCCCTGGAGGAAGGCGCTCTTGCTGTGCTGTGAGGTTAAGAGAAGGTAGATGACCCCCAACCTGTTCTCCAGGTCTGCTCGCCAGAACTGGGGGGGCAGTTGGGGTGAGCTGTAGGGTGTCCCTGGCTACACTCACTTGGCCATGCTGGAAGACGTTGTTGATCCAGTTGGTGAAAGTCTTCTCCTGCATCTGCATGTGCCGGGCCTGCAGCCTGCGAATGTGGCCCATCTCGTACTCAGAGTCCATGGTGGGACCTGGACTGGGCAGGATGCAGAGATCTGTGGCTGAGCCTCTCGCTACAGGTATCCAGTAGCCCCAGGGAACGTTGGGGATTGTGGCGCTGAACAGCCATCAGGCCTGCAACTCTTTGAGGTCAAGGGGCCACTGGAGATTTCCCTAAGCCTGGACATGTCGGAAACATGAAGGCTAGGGGAGGATTGTGGATAGTGATGACCCCCTGCCAGGGGTGCAGCTTAGAGACTAGACAGCTGAGGCCTGCTACTCTTGGCTGATACCCTATGCTCGAATGGCTCAGGGCCCCTTTTGCCCCACCCCACCCAGATTCTTCTTTGAACCCCTGCTGCCAGGTCCCTTGACCACAGTGATTGGCCGCTGTTCCTTGGGTTAACTAGGGCAGGTGGAAGAAAAACAGGAAACTGCTTACCTTGGCAACGTAGGGGGTCCTGGAGAGGAGATCCTGCTGGACTGATGGAGATGGCAGATAACAAGGGCTGTGCAGGGAGGGAGGGAGACAGAGGAAGTGGCTGAGACTGGAGCTGGGGCCACGCCACAGCCCTCCCCTTGAGCCAGAGTGTCGGGGCGATGGCACACAGGCGGCATTGTCCTCCCACCTGCCGCTGGGCATGGCCCAGACTGGAAGGGGGTGGCTCAAGAATGCTCCAGGCCCATGGCATGAGGATCTCCTCTTCATCAGCCACCCTCAGCCCTTGGCAAATTTCCTCAGCTCCAGGTGGGGGTCTAGGATCCCAGGATGAAGAGGCCCAGGAACAGGCTTGTAGGCTCAGGGTGAGAGCATTGAGGGGGCCCCAGCTGGGTAAGAGGTGCCAAAGGGCAGAGACTCTGCTGGAAGCCCATGGACCCACTTCCCAATCTGGGACTGTCCTTCTGCACCCCAGGGGCCTCTTTGTGAGCCCACGGCAGGGGATGGGAGGAAGCATGCTGGGCCATAGGTGTCTCATCTGCCCCCAGGGAACAGCCTGTGGACAGACGACATCAGAGACCCTGGGCTTGGCCTTCCAGGCTCTGACAGAGATGCATCCAACCTAATCCAGGACTAAAGAATGGGTGTTCCCTCAAGCTCTGGGTGTTCTCCCTAGGAAGGGGGTGACCCAGAACTGCAAAAGCTGTGAAGTCTCCTCCAAAATCAGAGACATACTCTTAACTCTGGGGGTCCACAGAGCTAGCTGTGGCCTGGGGCACGGAGGCTGGGGGTGCAGGAGGAGCCTTTGGGGCTTCTTTCTCTCTCTCCTTGACCAATCTTGAACTGCATGCCAGAGGAAAAGCAAGTTCTAATTCTGGCGGTTTCACACGACTGTGAGGCTGACCTCAGAGTAGCAGTCACTGGGCTGGGGTTGTGTCTGTGGGTGCGGCCACATCAGCAGCCCCAGAGACCCTGAGGAGAAGGCACTGCTCCTCAGGGAGGTGTCCTGGCAGCCAGGGCCCAGCGCAGGAGCAGCAGCTACAGCCTGCCCTTGAGGGCTGGGCTGAGGCGCACCACCCTGAGGGCCCTGGGCAGGGAGCGAGGGGCCATGATGAGAGTGCTGTAACCTTGGGTTGGGGAGCAGCTCCCCTATGCCTGAGAGATGCCTCTTCTCCTGTCCCTCCTGCCACCTGCTGGCTTCCGGATGTTTGAGCTGAGCCTGAGCTCCTTCTTCGCTTGCAGACTCAGAAAAAGTCAGTTCCTAACGGCTGTCTCCTGGGCTCCGCCCCTTCTGCTGTCACTCCCCCTGCAGGTCCTCATCACCGTCCCCCTAGCTCGTCAGCCTACACACCACCACCCTTCCAAAGCACAGCTCTGCTCACATCTACAAGGACACCTTTGCCTGCTCAGGAAAACCCAGGCTTGCCTCTAGCTACCTCAGCAGGCCCGTCTCCCCGGCTCACCCTAGGGTACTCCTGGGCTCTACTCTCCACCTCCAGGATAGGACTGAGGCTCTCCGGCCTCAGGGCTGGGCTGCAGCTGTTCTCTCAGCTTCGAATGGCCCCTTCTATTTCCCACTGCCCACTGTCACTATCCCATCAGTTCCAGTGAAAATCCTGCTTCTTCTGGGAAGTCCTCTACCCTTGGTTCATGGTATCTTGGGTGATGGGAGCACAGAAGGGAGGGCAGACTGAACTGCACGATGCTTTGCACAGAGAACTATCTCAACAGAGCTGGTTATTTCCGAAGTTGCTGGATGTGGCTAGGGACCTGCCCTGCTTTTCTTCCTGCCTAGCTTAACTGCAACTAAAGCCACTGCACACACGGCAAGGACCGGCTCTGCTTTGGCCATAACTGATTATGGTTTCTGGTGAAATGAGAACCCTGTTGGTCAATACAAAGTTTGGATTATTTATGTTGGAAGTAACTGAAATCTCAAGATGATCTGGGTTAAACAATACACTTTCACTTTTAATTTTCTATTTACATTTTATTTGTTTCAGAGTCAAGGCCTGACTGTGTTGCCCAGGCTGGTCTTAAACTCTTGGCCTCAAGCGATTGCCTCACCTCAGCCTCCCAAGTCACTAGAATTTTAGGTGTGAGCCTCCACACCTGGTTTAAATATAATGAGAATGTATTGGCCCACATAATTGAAAAATCTAGCAGGAAGAGAACTTCAGGTGAGGTTTGATCCAGTAGTTCAAATGATATCACCACAGGCCTGGATTTCTTCTGCCTGTCTGAATGCCTCCTTCATTTTCATGCTACAGAGTGGCTCCTACCATGCTAACCTCTCTCCCCTGCCCCCAGCACCTCTGGACACTTCTCTCTCTATGCCATTTATACTGTTGCGTCAGTAGATTCACTTCTTTATACTGCATGGTTCAGAGAAAAGAGGTCATCTCTCCCAAGAGTTGGAACAGAAGTCTGGGGGCCTGGCTCTCATAGGCTTGAATTGGGCCACATGCCCATTCCCGAACCAATTATCTATGACCAGGATTATGGGGTATATTTCACCCAAACCTCACAGCTCAAAGTGAAGGTGGGAGAAGGGGAGTGCTCTGCAGAGGGAATTCTGGGTCTAGGTCACCAGCCAGTGGAAAAACCCAGATGTCTGCTGCGGGTGGGGTGTACCTGTGAGAGGGGCAGGGGGCCAGAGCAGGAACAGCCCACCTGGGGCTCCTTCAAGTCCTGTATCCTCACTGGAGAAAGGATGTCAAGGTAGGCCTGTGTCTCTTGTGAGAGCGCTCAGCAGTGCCTTCTCCTCAGCCTCTGAAGCTCCCACCTCCATGATTCTCTCCCACCTTGGCTTCCAGCCAATCTGAGATGGGCTTGAGCCTCCCTTGGGGCTACTTACAGACCTGGCCTGTGCTGTCCATCATCCCCTACCTCCTGCCAAATGGGGCTGCTTTCCTTCTGAAACAGCCCTATTTTGGGATTCTCCCCCCTGCAAAAGGGCACAGGAAGGGTTGGGGGTCATAGGTACACCCTTTATCCAACTCTTCTACCTCATTTCAGAACTGACTCAGGGATCCACACTGCTCTGAGGTGGCCGGCACACAGCCACTGGAAAACCAGAGCCAGTGGGGAAAGGTCGTGCTTTTCCCACAAGTTTATTGATCAGTAGATTGCATCTTTTCGTTTGAATACAAAAAAAAAGAATAGCATTGTGTATTAACTACATTGGTTAATTGACATGTAACCTTATACGTGCCTAAGTTAGGCCTGTTTTCCCAAATAAACTCAGTGCTTATCTGTCCTAAGAGTCTCCAGTTTATTCCATGGAGGAACTACACAGCAAAATGCTTTCCAATTTTTTCTTCTTTTTATAGAAATGGAGTCTTGCTATGTTGCCCAGGCTGGTCTCGAACTCCTGGGCTCAAGCAATCCTCCCACCTTGGCTTCCCAGAGTGCTGGGATTACAGACAGGTGTGAGCCACAGCACCTGGCTGCTACCCTTGTCTTCAAGGCAGTTCATCCAGGGTATTCTCTGGGCATAATGAAGGAGCGTAAGGATGCAAGGCGGAATGGTCCGCCCTGGGTGATGGACCTCAGGACACGATGTTCTGGGTGGAGCAGAGAGGTGGTGTCCTTAGGAGGTCCAGCAGAACCAGGGGAGAGGATGGAGTTGGGGCCATGGGCCCAGGGTTCTGCTGGGCCTCTTCTGGGGGCTGGTGATGAAGGCGGGGATTGGGGCAGAGCAGGAGAAAGCATTTTGCTTCTCCCCACACCCTGTAACCCCCCTGGACACCCAGCCCCATGATAAGAATTAGACTCTTCCAGGCCTACAATCCTGGGAATGTAACCACAGCCCAAATCAGATGTTATTGCTGCATAGTGACAAATGTGCAAAAGAGAACCACATTCAGCCTTAGAGAAATGGAAGCCAAGTAATTACATGAATGACCCTCTCCCATGAAGAGGCCCTGGCCCAGGCCGTCCGACTGTGTGTAAGTTTGGGTCTTGAGACGAAGGAACTGACGGATGCTGCCAGACTGGGGCCTGAAGTGGAAGAAAGTTGGACGTCTGCATGTCCCCATGCAGTGGGGAGTTTGGCAAGTCTCAGTGCAACGTTTCTTTGCAGATAGGGTCAGGAGGGCCTCGTGGGCAGGCCGATGATATGGAAGGACTCAGCTGGAGCTTCTGTCCCAAACTCCAGACTGCAAGGGTTGTGTTACGCGACACCATATGCTGTGTAAAAAGTAGGGCCTCAAGGTTCTCAGACTCTCCTCTGTGGAGTCCTGAAGAGCACTGAGCCAGTAGCATAATTCCAGAGTTGAGGGACTTCCACTGCCCCTCCCATACACTAGCACCCTGGGGAGGGGGTTCTTTGAAAACTGGGAGGGGCGTGGGAAGGGCAGCACAGTCAAGATGGGCAGGCCCTAGGTACAGACCCACTGTCCTGCTGTGGGGAGAGAGATGAGGGGACAGCTGGCAGTTTGGTCATAGACTCAAGGAACGTTGTGCTGCTTCAAGGAAGATACAAGCCCTCATCTGGTCACCATACCTAATGTCTTCTAGTGTTTTTCTTTCCAGTGAACTCTTAAATACCTATCTATCAGCCAGGCTTGGTGGCTCAGCCTGTAATCTCACGCCTTGGGAGGCTGAGGTGAGTGGATTGCCTGAGCCCGCGGGTTCGAGACCCGCCTGGGCAATTTGGCAAGATCTCATCTCTACAATAAATCAAAAAATCAGCCGGGCGTGGTTGCAGTTCCAGCTACTTGGAAGGCTGAGGCGGAAGGATCACTGGATCCCAGCAGGTCGAGGCTGCGGTGGCCGGGAGCGGCCATTGCACTCCAGTCTGGGCGACAGAGTGAGACTCCGACTCAAACAAAACAAAACAAAAAAACCCCTATCTATCTATCTATCTATCTATCTATCTATCTATCTATCTATCTATCTATCTATCTAGACAAGGTCTCGCTATGTTGCCCAGCTGGTCTCAAACTCCTGGGCTCAATGTGTAATCCCAATGTTCTGGGATTACAGGCATGAGTCACGGTGCCAGGCCTCCAGTGAACTTTTCATGGTGAATGACTTCATGCTGTAAGAACAGTGAACACATGCTTCCCCCCACCCTTCCACCCCACGAACACCACCAGGTCCCAGCAGGGAAAGGATTCAGCTGTCAGATGTCCCTCTCACCTGAGGGAGTGGTGGGGGTATGGAGATCACAACACCCAGAGAAGTTTCCTTCCAGGAGAAAGCACAAACCTCAGCCTGTTGCCCTCTAAAGAACAGTTTTCCTATACGAATCTATATAGACAGAACTTACATATGTACACATTGTTTTAAAAATACATACTCATGTGACATATATATATATAAATTTATCTTTATATATGACGATTGAGCAGAGTTAAAGAAGCAAGATAATTCTGAATGAAATTCCAGCTCTCCTGGGCATCTCCAAGCCTTGGGATGAACTTTCTCTCCTCTTCCTCAATTTACCCTTTGGTGGCCACTACTATGCTTATTATATACTTGGGGTAGTCCTCTTACTTTCACACAACTATCTGCTCATAGTACTGCTCATAGTACTGGAACTATGTTTCTTTTCTATGTGTCTAATTGAGTTAAAAGTGCTCATTAAGACTAAAAAACCACATTATGTATTTACTTCTCTCAAAACCAAATTACTTGGAAAGTAAGCCAGGGAGTGTGAGGGTTGGCACCTGGATAGAACTATTTCCCAAAGTCAGTATTTTAAATCTGCAGCTCTGACCCTGATGTCACTAGAGGCATGTGACAGAAAAAAAAAAAAATTGACATGGTTTTGGGAAGGTTCAGTGGAACTGTTCTGATTTCATTCATTTCTGGTACCAGCTGTGCCCTATACCATGTGGCCATTGCTGTTTTGCACCTCTTATTGCATAAATAATGGTGACAGGAACCTGCCTCCCCATGCTGATGCCCACAGAGGAGAGAGGATGGCGGCGAGAATTACCACTTGTGTCTGCCCCACGCATCTGAGCAAGCAGTCCAGAGAGGCTTCCTCAGGGAGTTGGGGAAGAGCACTCAGGAGTTGATGTTAGGCAAGCCTCAACCGTGCCTCGTGATGGGCAGTCATGATACAAACCACACAGCCTTTGGAAAAAAGGTTTTATATGAAAGAGTTCATTTTGTTTCTGTATAAAGGCTTTCATCCTGTAAGAAAAAAACCTGGATATAAGAAATGCCTGTTTTCTACAAAGCTACTGTCTAATTCTGGCAAGCTGATCTCTCATACACAACAGTCCCGGGCAAGGCTGGTCTCTCAGTCAACTCCGGCCCACAGGGCCTAGGACACTGCACATGCCAAGACAGGTTTCTGCAGTATTTCAATTCTGCCCTCCACCGAGGAGCCTTGGGAGGCGTAATGGTTGAGGGTCACACTAAGCGATGTGTGAGGAGAACCACCTCTTTTCCTTACTGTAGTTTAAGTATGATAAATAGGCTTTGCTATAACTTAGTGGCCAAACCAGTAAGAAAAGCTCATCTTTAGACTTCAATATGGCTTGAAATGCAAATCAGAAGTCTTTCCAGGGGTTAATAAAGGTTGTGAGTTGCAAATCCCTGACTCAATACAGCTTTGCTAGGAAGGCCCCTGGGGAAGGCCTAGGGGGTTGTGGGGGGGAGGGGAGTTGGCCATCTAGTCAGCAGGGTGGTGGCGGATTCTTGCTGGGGCCTGGTTGCCTGCTCTGCTGGAGCCTGCAGGAGAGATGCGGGTGCACAGAGGTGCATCCTCCTTCCAAACCTGGGCTGTCTGTTGTCTTCTCTTTGGTAGATAGTCTGGAGAGAGAAGAAATCCTCTACTCTAATTTTTCCCACTCTAAATATAGCAGAACACAAAATAAACAATAAATAAGATCATCTGTGCTGCATTCTGGTGCCCACAGAGGGACAGACAGGTGCTCCAGAGGTCGTTCATGAGGACAAACAGCCCAGGCAGAGGCCCAGCTCAGTTCTCGCGGTTCCTGGGATTCCACCAAACCCCTCTCCATATGTGTTTCACCAGGCTTCTGGGTATTCTTAGGCCAATTCCCTTCCTTCTCAACCCTTTAATCTCCTTATTCATCCCCCCAGGTCTCTCAGTATTTTAACAGAAACTCAGGGAATTTTAGAGTGGAAAGGACCTCATCCAGTGTCCAGTGTCTGCTCTTTGCATTCTAAAGATGGGGAAACCAAGGCACGGAGAGGGCAGTGCCTTGTCCAAGGTAATTTGGTGAGTCAGTGGCAGAGCTGGTCTTGGGCCCAGGACCCTCGGTTCCCGCCCCCCATGGCCCACCCTGTTCTTGGCCGGCCCCTCAGTCAGCTTTCTGCAGGGACTTCCTGTGAGAGGGGGGCACGAGGTGGGGGGGCAGGCTGGTGGGCAGTTCATAGCCATCCAGCTTGATCTTGATGAGGTGCTTGGCCAGTGCGAACTCCTCCTCGTCCAGCATGCCGTCGCAGTCACAGTCGGCCAGCTTCCAGATCTTGCCCAGGACACTGTTGGGCAGCTTGGAGGTCACCATCTCCTTCTTGGCATTGACACCCGATATCTTGCCATTGATGGGTGACAGAGTGTAGAAGAGCTCGTCGTAGACGGGCTTGTCTTTGGCCACGACCCACTCTTCCTCGTCGGCGCCCTCTTTGGCACCCTCCCCGTAGCCCTGGTTGAAGGGGCCCTCAGTGGTGCCGTCAAAGGCGCCACCCTGCACGAGCTGCGTGGGCATGCTCATCTCTTCCTGACTGATGAGGTTCATCAGGGACGAGATCTTGCTGCTCAGCATGTTGTCCACGGCCTCAATCAGCTTGGGCTTCAGTGAGTGGAATTTGGTGAAGTCGTAGTTCTCGAGCTGTTCCTGCAGGAGGACAGACCACAGGCTTGGTTATGTGATTCAGAAGGAAACAGGTGGGCAGGGGGACGCAGCTGGAGGGAGACGATCTGCCTCAGAGCTGACATCCCACCACCGGCTACTCCTGAGCTCTCCCTTATGGGCGGGTCCCCACATCCAAACTCTCCAGATACAGGAGTGGCTTTCTGAAACAAGAAACACTTTGTGTGGGATCCAATCTTTCTTCTATAGTAGCCAATTTCCACCTCTGGCCACATGAGTGACAGCGACACCCTAGGACTCTGAGAAAACTTCTTTCATCTGCCTTTGTTTAATACTCGAGAGAATCAGTATTTTATTCCTCAAAGTGATTTTTAAAAATTTATTTTAATTAAAAAAAAACAGAGACGAGGTTTCACTATGTTGTCCAGGCTGGCCTCAAACTCCTAGGCTCAAGTGGTCCTCCTGACTTGGTCTCTCAAAGTGTAGGGATTACAGGCATGAGCCACCACGCCTGGCCCAGAGAGATTTTACTACACACTTCAGCTGATCTTCACAAGCATCCTAGGAGTGAGGAAGGGCAGATACTGACAACCCTGTTTTACAGAGCGCTGCAGGAGGTGTTCCAGCAGAATCAAGGCTAGAGGCTCCGTCTCCTGACTCCTGAATAATGCTCTCTGTGCTGGAACATGAAGCTGTGACCGAAGGACTCTATTTAGGTAAAACAGTTAATTTTCAAAAATTTTTTTAGCCCAGGAGGCTACTCAAGTAGGAACCCTGTAGGAACAGCCCCATCAAGCACAGCCTGACCAGGTGCACTTGAAGCTACCCTAAGAAAGTACTCAGGCAGGGTCATGAAGGTCTTGCAAATGCAGAGTAACCACTACTAACCTGCTGTCACTTAAAAAATATGGACAAGTAAGTAAAAGTTAAAACTGGCCAGAGGGAGTAGGGCTGGGGAGGATGAGTGTATAAATCCAGCCAATAGGGCCAGAGTATCACCACTAGGGCAGGGCAGGGCTCGGCTCATAATCCCATCACCTGGCAATGACCTCTGCTGCGTACTTGGGCATATATTTCTCATCATTTTCACACACACATGTACACACTGAAATAAAACCACAATATTTGCTTAAAACTTGCATTTTAAGCAAATAATGTGTCAATTTTTCCATGGCATTTTTACATAAACTTATTCTTTTTATTTAATTTTAATTTTATTTATTTATTTATTTTTTGAGTTGGAGTCTCCCTCTGTCACCCAGACTGGAATGCAGTGGCTGCTCCCGGCCACCGCAGCCTCGACCTGCTGGGCTCCGGGGATCCTTCTGCCTCTGCCTTCCAAGCAGCTGGGACTACAGGCGCGCGCTACCACGCCTGGCTAGTTTTTGATTTGTTGTAGAGATGAGGTCTCACCAAGTTGCCCAGGCGGGTCTCGAACCCGCGGGCTCAGATAATCCACTCACCTCGGCCTCCCAAAGTGCTGGGATTACAGGCTGAGCCACCGAGCCCAGCCTTATTTTATTTTTAAAAACGCAATTTAATTTTAATTTTAATTTATTTATCTTTTGAGTCAGAGTCTTACTCTGTTGCCCAAGTTGGAGTACGGTGGCATGATCGTGGCTCACCACAGCTTTGACCTCCTAGGCTCAGGGGATCCTTCTACCTCAGCCTCCCTAGTAGTTGGGTCTACAGGCGAGTGCCACCACACCTGGATAATTTTTCTTTTCTTTTTGTAGAGATGAGGTCTTGCTATGTTGCCCAGGCTGGTCTCGAATTATAGGCATGAGCCACTATGCCTGCTCTATTGTTTTAATTAATTTTTTGAGTTAGGTCTCATTCTGTCACTCCAGTTAGAGTGCAGTGGCACAATCATGGCTCACTGTAGCCTCAAACTTCTGGGCTTGAGCAATTCTCCTGCCTTAGCCTCCTGAGTAGCTGGGACTACAGGTGAGTACCACCATACCTGGCTAATTTTTTTTTTCAAGAAAAAGTCTTGCTATGTTGCCCAGGCTGGTCTTGAACTCCTGGGCTCAAGCAATCTTCCTGCTTCAAAGTTGCTGGGATTATAGGTGTGAGCCACTGTGCCTGCCCTATTGTTGTAGTTAATTTTTTGAGTCAAGATCTTGTTCTGTCATCCAGGCTAGAATGCAGTGGCATGATCAATGCTCACTGCAGCCTCAAACTCCTGGGCTCAAATAACCTTCCTGCTTCAGCCTCCTAAGTAGCTGGGACCAGTGAGCACAACCACACCTGGCTAATCTTATTTTTAAAAATTTTTTTAAAGAGATGAGGCCTCACCATGTTGCCCAGGCTGGTCTCAAACCTGTGGGCTCAGGCAATCCTCTCGCCTCTGCCTCTCAAAGTGCTGGGATTACAGGTGTGAGCCACCGTGCCCGGCTAACCTCTTTCTTAATAGCTATAGACTGCTGAACTGTATAGCTGGGCCATTCTTCATCTACCCTGTGCCTTGTAGTTGGACATGTAGATTGCTCCCAGTGGAGAACCAAAATCGTGGTCTCTAGGGTGTGTGGCAGGACTGGAGTTCTTTGCTGATATTTGAAAGTGGACCTCTGAGCTTTAGATGGTGGTGGGGACAGAAAGCTGGAAGCTAAATAGACTGGCACATCTCTAGGTCAGGCCTCTCACACTTCTGTCAGGTAATAACTGTGGGTATCACACCACGCTGTGTGGGCTGACACTCAGCTTCCGGCCTGTGCTCAGCTCAGAGCGATGGGTGGTGCAGGCCTGGTCTCGAAAACGAATTCTGGTGTCCATGTCCTTCACCCTCACTATCAGTCACTGGCACATCACCAACGTCAGCACCAAACAGTGTGGCCGGCACTCTGGGCTCCTGCTGCTAACATCTCCGTCAGCCAAGAGGACAGAAAAGGGAAAACCAGGCAGGTGGAGGAGCAGGCATCCTACACAAAAATCCCGGTGCTGCTGGGGCAACACGTGTGGATGCCTGGGTGCATGAACACTATCCTGTTTCCTCATAAATGCCTGTGTCTGGTCAAGCAGTGGAGGGGGGAGATGCCCATCCAAACTTCCCACCATCCTGCAGGTGTCGTGGGTTCCTACTGCAAACCAGCTGTGGAGAATGGCCACAGATTTGCAGGAGTGGACAGGAAGCAGCAACTATTCCTGCCCCAGAGGGCACACAGGAAAGAAACCCCCCACTCTTGTCCCTGTGGCCCTCTCCAGGCCTGACCAGGGAGTGTGGGGGCACCGGGTGAACCATCATCATCCATGCCCTCCCTCAGGGTGGGCCCAAACAATTCCTTTGACTGGGATGAATACACACTGAATTAGAGGTCTACCCATCAACAGCTGTACCCACCAAGGCGGGATCCTGGAGCTGCTCCCTCTCAGGAGACAAAGGTCAGTCCCAGCCCTGTCCCCAGCGGGGCCCACTCATTCCCAACATTCACCAGAAGGCGTTTTCAAGTCCCTGAGAGGGTCTGAGCAGATGGGGCTGACTCTGCTGCCCTCTGCTGTTGAAATGCTGCCAACTCATCAGCTGCGGGGTCAAATTCTCCTTCCTGTAGGAGGACCACTGAGTCAGCAGCAAAGGCAGCATTCCTAGTGCGCTTCGCTTCTCGTCTTGCAGTGTTGACATGTCTGTGCCATCAGTCAGCTTTCCTCCCAAAAGGGTGCAGGGCAGACACAGGCAGCCTCATGAGCAGGTTGCAGGGTCGGTCCCAGCGCCAGGGAAAGGTCTTCAAAACATACATTTGTCTCACAGCTATGGCTCAGAGTCTCCTGGACAACTTGGTCCATGAGAGAACAGGGAGAGGAGAAACCTAAAGCTGGCATCAGCAAGCTGTCTGTGTGACCTTAATGTGTGCAAATCTCATAATGGGTCATCTCTAAGCTTATGTCCCTGCCTCTTTCCCAGACGCAGCGGATGTGAGATCGACTGCTTAAATTGTAGAGGATGTTAGACTTCTAAAGACTCAGGGATGGGAGAGGCCCTAACCCATACCCATGCCCCTCAAAGCTTCCTGGGTGACGACAGCAAACTAGCCTGAAGTGTTGGGTGACAGTGAGCATTCCTAGCAGGTTCCAGTTGCCTCATTCCCTGGGGATTCCCTGAAGGGACTGGAGTGGTGTGATTGCAACCCCAGGGCTTCCCGAGTCAGACTCTACCTGTAGCTTCCAGAGGTTTGCTCTGGAAATCTCTGATCTGTAAGCCCTGTGAGAATCAGGTTGGGTCAGGGTCTGAGAGCCTGCTATGATATGAACTTATACTCACTTATTAATTCACACGGTATGTGTTAACTGAGCACTCGCTACATCCTAGGTGCTGGGGATAGGGCAGTGAACAGGATGTTGGCCATTGACCTCATGGAGCTACTGTCTTATGAGGGAGAGAGGCACTAAATATCAGACATTGAATAATCTAATTAATGACATGGAAGCACAGTAGCACCCATATTGGAACAAGGAGCATGCGTCCCAACAAAGGGGTTGCTGTCAAAGCTTCACTGCCAACCTTAGTCACAGTGGCAAAGATGAAATTATTTTTACTCCTGTTTGTTCATTTTTGTTCATTGATGTATTCCAGGGGCCTAGAACAGTGCCTGGCCATAGTAGGCATAATTAATATTTCTTTATAATATTTATAATAAATATACACAAGTAAACAGGGCACCTGTCAGGACCCTTCACTTGCAGTCCTAGAACCCTCAGGTGTCCACCGAAGGTGCTAAGATATCTGGTATAGAGCCTGACACAGGGATTTCTCAACAAAGGCGTGGGCCCTTCCTGTATCCTCCAGCTGGATGGGCTGTGACAGCTCCTAAGACCATGCTTTCCTTGTTTCCTTCCCCAGGATTGTCCCTTTGCCCCAGCTCTGAGGGGCCTGAGTGTCCTCTGACCTGGCCAGCCCGGGTTAGCTTTGTCAGGAGTCCCTCTGGTCCCAGGGTCTGCTTTCTACGTTAATGGGCTCATAGGGGACCAGGAAAGGTCCCATAAGGGACGTTTCACTAGAGCCCCAGGTCTCAGGAGCGGCATCCTCCTGTGGGCGGGGCATTGTGGCAACTCCATGAGGCTATGAGGCGCAGAGGCCCCCACTAGGCCATGGGGTAACAGCCTTCAGAGGGAGAGAGACACTAACTGACACACGAAATACAGAGCATGGGCTGTGGATTTCTGCATAACTTTCATTAAGTCAAGAAACCAAGTTCCCTTCTGAGATATCTGAAGGGTATGAGGAAGCAGCTGCCCTGCAGTTTGGTCACAGGGTATGGGTCATAACCATGGGCGTGACTGTGGAACCCGCTCAGGAATACTACAGCAGCCCTCCAGTGACCAGAAAACACCCAGATCATCCTCTGAGCACAGGAAGACCTATTCCATTGCTGGGAGAAAAAGACATTTCTGTATTTCTAAATAAGTACAGTTCAATCATACTTCACCAGACCATATGTACCAGAAGCACGCACCCTAAATGCAGGCGTGAAAAGTTGTCCTCGAAACAGTAAGGATAACCCACCCCCATGTTAGTGTATCTTTTATAGAAAACTTTTGTTAAAAAACATACCCCTCTGGGCCAAAACTTCCCCTCCACCACCTGTTGACCCTCCACTGCTCACCTCCCTGCTCCATGCAGCCTCCTCCTCTCTTACCGTTCCCCTCCTGCCTCCAGCGGCACCTGTCTCAGCTTTTAAACTGCACTGACTTCAGTGCTGTCACTGTGTGGGCCAGGACAGGAGATGGTAACCAGCATGCAGCCAGTATGCAGGTGGGCTTTGTTTGGTCTTTGTAGCTTTTTTTTTTGAAAGTTTGAGTCAAAATTGGAAAACCTGGAGATTTTACACACACATCCAGATTCCCGGCCTCTCTTGAACCACCCAGGCCTGTATTCCCCACAGCATAGTGGCCACCAGGCTGGACAGGGTTTCTGCGCTCTCCAATCTGCCCTACCCTGGGACCCCTGACAAATGCTCACTACCCCTACAGAAGTGTTTTCCTCCGTATAGATACATCTTTCTCAGAATCCGCCACTCTGTCAAGTGTGGGGAAACAAGAGGTAGCCAGAGAAGGTGACAAAGTTTCTCTTTTGCCTGACCTGCTTCATTTGTTCATGTTATTAGTTGGTGGCTGTAAGCACCTGAGTTTGTGCTGTCTGCTTAATGGAGAAGATTGTGGTCCCCAGTGTAGATGGGTCCCGGCCCCCACATAAGAAGATGGTCAGCCTGGCTCTGTGAGGACCGTCTATACAGAAGCCAGCGGGGTAGCCTTGCTTGGGAAAACATGTTCATCTAACATCAGTGAGGGGTGGCGGACATACTGACCAGGCCAGGGCAGCTGAATGCAGCGCCTGTTCATGCCTGGCTGGGGCTGCCCAGGCACAATTCAAGAGGCCCTGAAACCAGACCACAGGCTTCCCAGAGCCAACCTTTAAGCATACCCTCACTGTGTCCAGTACAGTCCAGCCGTGTCCAGAGTGGACCACAGAGCCCCACGGCTTCTGACAGAGCCCCTGAGCCTGCAGCAGCAAGGCTCCCTGAGCACATAATCCCACAGAGCAGGGCAGGGCCAGGCAGGGCTTGAGGAGGCTGCCCAAGGTAACCTTCAAGGCTACTCTCAGACCCGATTCCCTTGAGATTCTGGGATTCTGAAAATCAGGTGTAACCTCAACATCAAACCAACCTCCTTGAACACAGTCCTACAAGGGTTGCTTATCTGATGTTTTCATATGAGTCTCACTGATCTTTTGTGAAGTGTCCTCTTTTATTTATACATTTTGGAGGGTATAAATTTCTGCTTTATTTATACTCCATTATCATGGGTCACCATTAGGAAGATGAATTCATTGCATTCTCCTTGATCTTACGCCACGAGACCCTCATGCATCCCCAGCAACCTGCCAGACAACACGGCACAGCATCTCCACCCTCTGCCCTTGACATTGCAATGGGCTCCCAGTACCTGCATTGCCTTGACCTCGGGGAAGTCCCCTGCAGAAATCTGGTATTCTCGCTGCAGTTGAATGTAGATTTCTGGTAATCTGCTGATCAGCTCTCTCTTCTTGTTCTCCTTTCCAAAGACACTTGGCATCTCCTTCTTCAGGTGGCTGATGATGTAGGCATGTACCTGCAGGGGTGTATGTCAGGTGAGGATGTGTCATTTAGAGGAGCACCAGAGAAGGAACAAACAAGATCACATCCTATATGCATCATAACATAACAGGCACCCACAATGGCCGTGGTCAGGAGGAGAGGAAGGATCCAGGGAACCCTAGGGGTGGCCAGAATGCAGGTCAGAACTGGAGAAACTCTGCGGCTACAGTTCCACTGTGCTTGCATGGAACTGTAATTCCAGTGTTGTGCAGGGAGTGAGTGGTATGGGTGGGGACAGGGAGGGAAAGCTCTTAGTTCTGATGATCATCCAGGAGACCCAAGAGAAAGTTTTACCAAGCCGATGCCAGACAGCACCAGAGAGCACCAGAAAATGAAACTAGAGGATGATGTAATTGGCTGATCAACACAGAAATCTGTGCCTCGTAAAAAGCAAGATAAGAATTCCCATAAGCTTCCTGTGGACAGGTTAGACACGGATCTCTATAGGCAGCACTAAAATCATTTCTGCCCAAGACCAGCTGCCTGGGACCAGGCTGGATGGCAGAAGCTCCCTCTGGGAGAAGAGCCCCAGGGGCCTGAGGGGAAGTCCCAGAAACCTTGATCACTGGGGGAGGGGTGAGGAGTGGCAGCAAACTGTCACCCGAGGTGGGTGAATCCCACTGGGAGAGCTTCCTTAACATTTCCACTCATCTACTGATTTCCAACTTTGGGAAATCATTAAGAAGTGGTCTTTACAAAAGTTCTCTTTGTAATCTTGAATTCTACAGAGTAATTGTGAAGTCAAGTAAATAACTAAAATAAGAAAGAATGAAAAACAGAGCAGTGATTACAAGAAGAAAATGACTATGCCTCTATGGAAAATCCTATTAAGGAAAACAGACTTCTACTATAATCTTGTAGAAGAGTGGAAATTAAATAAAGTGGGTTAGCAGATATATGCCCTAGCTCAGCCGAGGGCCTCTGTGTGTGGATGCACCCTGGGCGTAGTCAAAAGCATTCTGCTGGGATCTGAATGCTAACGTAAGTACATAATGCGCACATGGACATACTCAGACCCAGCTATGCTAACTTTCCATCTGTACAAAGGTCACAATGACATAAGCATACATTGTGCCGCCGCCTGACTACGGCAAGGAGAACAGATTTGGGGAGATGATTCTTGACTTTTCTGTCACCAGCAAACTTGTTTTTTTGCTTATTTTTCAAATAAAAACAACTTAAGATATTTACAATATTCTTAGCGATAACTAGAGAAACCGAAAGTCTAGGACTTCTTCATTTAGAATTCTGGGCTTTAACTGCATTCCTGAGGCTGTGATGAGTGCTTTAGTCGAACTAGCAATTCCTTTGCCCAGTATAGTGAATGCCCAGCTGGGTGTGGGTGTGGCGGGGAGGGCCAGTGGTGGGGAGGGCCACTGCCGGGGGCTGGAGGGGCTACCATGTTCAGTCAGGGAGAACCAGTTGCTCATAGCTGTACCTGCATTATTTCCTTGCCTTGGCCTTTCTGGAACCTCCGAACCGGGCCTGTGCTCAGGCCTGCCCCACTCTGGAGGAGGCAGAACAGAAGTAGGAAGCCCACAGCTGCTCACTCTCCTAAGCACAAGGGCTTCTTATTCCTGGCAGAGCCCAGGCCTGGAGCAACTCGCTGCCAGACTCCCTAACACCTCTTTGTCACCTCCTGGTAAGGTACCTCCGAGCGGCCAGGTCCCTGCTCAGAGAAGGCTTAGGTCCTGCTCTTCAATCTGGCGGACTCACCACCCAGCCCCTACCTCCTAGGATGGGCACCCTTTTCCTGGACACTCCTTGGAGCCCAGGGCCTGATTCACCTGGGCTGAATTCAGGCGATGTGCTCCTGTCACTCGTCTCCACCCACTGACTGGCACCTGTTCCTTCATCTTAGACCTCTTGGTGTTTACTGGTTGATGACCAAGGCTGTTGGATAATGGGCCGCCTCTGGACACTGGAACTCCAGAGCCCTGACATACCTGGAGCAGATCTTATGCCAGGTCTCAACTCCCTCCTCCTTCCACCAGCCTGGTGCTGAGTCATGGCCCTCAGGTGACCTGCTCATGCTGCTCTCAGGCCCAATTTCTACTTCTAGTAAGTTCCACCGGCCTGTGTTGCAGAAGTCTTCAGTTATGCTGCCTCTGCATGTCCACCCCACTCCTGCTCTTCCTGGGGCATCCTAAGACAACAACTCGGGTCAGTTTCTATGTATGGACCTATGTTCAAGAAGTTTATCCATTATGAGATAAATTGCAATTCTTAGAATCATGGAGTATTGAATCTGGAAGGGACCCTCTATGTCTAATTTAACTTCTGGTTCTGGGAAATTTCTGTGACAGACTCAAGGTCACACAGTTAGTTGGGAGATACACAGGTGGCATTAGCATCCAACTGCCTCATTCCTGTTCTTATATAATTAATTTATGAATTAAAAATCTTACTGAAGTTGTTGAAAAATTGGGTTTCAAAGTGAACTGTGCCCTGTAGAACAACTGTCTGGAAAACTTTGATTTGAGGTTTTACTTCTAACCGTTCCTGATTCACTGGAAAGCTTCAGATAGGTCATTTACTCTCCCTTTCCCAATACACCAAAAGTAGATCCAGTATGTCACACAAACATTAGGAACACCACACAGGAATGTGGGTAAAGATTGTAATCTTCTGGCAGGATGGCGCCTGGTCATTTTCTAAATACTCTGAGTAAACAGAGGGGACAGCCTGAATGGCTAAAATTCAGTCATTTCAAAAGCTCACTCCTTGCCAAAAAGAAAAAAACAAACAGCCCTATTACAAAGTGGGCAAAAGATACAAATAGGTACTTCTCAAAAGAAGACATACGAGTAGCCAACAGACACATGAAAAAATGCTCAGCCTCACTAATCATCAAAGAAATGCAAAGTAAAACCACACTGAGATACCACCTAACTCCAGTCAGGATGGCCATCACCAATAACTCAAAAAACAACAGATGCTGGAGAGGATGTGAGGAAAGGGAACTCTTCTATATTGTTGGTGGGAGTATAAGCTAGTACAGCCTCTGTGGAAAACAGTTTGGTGATTCCTAAAAGATCAAAAATCGACCTTCTGTACGACCCCACAATCCCCCTACTGGGAATATACCTGGAGAAACTCAAATAATTCTATGAAAAAGATACCTGCACACATATGTTTATTGTAGCATTATCCACGATAGCAACAACATGGAACCAACCGTGCTGCCCATCAAAAGAGGACTGGATTTTAAAAAATGTGGTGCATATACACGATAGAATATTACACAGCCATAAATAAGGACAAAATTATGAACTTCACAGTGCCCTGGATGGACTTAGAGTCTACAACACTGAATGATCTATCACAGAAACAAAGAACTGAGTACCACAGGTTCATTAGCAGACCCTGAACAATCATCAAAATACTATAAGAAAGGGAATGGCAGTAGTGAGAACCTGCCAGGCGAGGGAGGGGGACACACCTTATCAACAAGGATACTCGATCTCAAGCCAGGTGAAGTGGAGACCAAAGTAAGGCTCAAACTTTACCTACACAATGACCATTTGTATACCAAACCCTGAATTGTACCCCACAACCTTAAAGTAAAATAAAAAAAGAGGAAAAAAAAAAAACCCTCACTCCTGCCCATATGTGTCAAAGATGTCTCCAAATAAATGCCAGATGGAGGGCCACACCTGGCAGCTGTCCCTGTGGCTGGAGGTGGAAACACTCTGAAACCTTTTATTCTTTATCATGAGAGAAAACTAACTGAGAAGAAGAAGAAGAGGAACGAGGAGGGGGGAGGAAGGACAAGACCTAGCACTGGAAGGCCAGGTCAGGCCCAGCCACCACTGCTCACTTGCTGGGCAACTCCAGGGAATCATGGCATCTCTGCCCCGGCATGCTCATCCACAAATCCAAAATGACAACGTTCATCTCACAGAGCTGTTGTTATGAGGACAGAAGAGATCATGTGTTTGAATGCACTTTGCCTACTAGGAAGAGAAATATAAATGGTACTTGTTATTACCAGTGGCCAAAGGCTGACAGCTGAAGGGGTAGTGATGACAAAGAAGGTTCCTGGCGATTTAGTCTTTACTGAATAATTAATAAACTCTGTATGTGAATAATAACAATAGAGCTGGGGTCGGTGGCTCAGCCTGTAATCCCGCACTTCGGGAGGCTGAGGTGAGTGGATTGCCTAAGCCCGTGGGTTCAAGACCTGCCTGGGCAACTTGGCGAGACCTCATCTCTACAATAAATCAAAAAATTAGCCGGGCATGGTAGCGCGCACCTGTAGTTCCGGCTGCTTGGAAGGCTGAGGCGGAAGGATCGCTGGAGCCCAGCAGGTCGAGGCTGCAGTGGCCGGGAGCGGCCACTGCACTCCAGTCTGGGTGACAGAGTGAGACTCCAACTCAAAAACCACAACAACAACAACAACAAAAATAATAATAATAACATAATGAATTTGGGTCTAAGTGTTTAATTCACAGGTGAATGACATTGATCCCTGGGGACTTTTGAACATTCTCATCTCGTTCAATTCATTTTTTTTCCCCTTGTATAACACTGAAAAAGTCCCAAGTCATCTGACAATGATGACTGGGGGTAAATCAAATGGATCAAAATGACAAATTTTCTCTGGGCTAATAACTCAATGAACAGAAAGGAATGTCTTCCCCTTTAAATGTATATGAATTTATATACAGTTCACAAATTTACTCTGACACAAATCTCATTAGTTGTGTCTAGTGACAAGTTTGTGTATGTATGTGTGTGTCTCCAAGACTGAGAAGTACTTACGAGTGATTGACTATATCCACACTGGGCTTGGAGAGCAACCTATATTCAAGAGTGATGCTGGCTTGGGAAACCTTCGTGGAACTTAGACATGGGGCAGTAGTCTGGAGTAAGGCGTGGTTACGCACTGTGCCACCACACTCATCTGCAAACTTTCCAACCTGCTGGAGGCCTGTGGCTGTGTAAGCCTGGCTAGAAACTTGCACAGAGCACTTAAGGCCAGGGGATCAGCACATTTCAAAAGTGGGTTGTGATGATATAAAGAATTCAGTTAATAAAGCAGAGACCCAAAACGTGACCCCATGGGGTAACAAGAGTGTGAGACTGCGAGAGACAGAGAAAAGCAGCTGACTCGTTCCTCCTTGAACAGGAGTTTATTATTCTGGCACCAATGGCACGTGTGATTCTTAACAGCTTTAAAGGGAACTCGAAGGGGCCCACACAGTCATCTGAGGTCAACTTTTAAAGACACAGGCTTCCATATATAGGCTTAAGCAGTGACACACACAGCTACAATAGCTCAGGGCTGCCAACTGAGCTATTTTTAAAGCCCCATGGTGGACTAGGCATGAACGAGATCTTTATTACCCATATGTGGTGATTCTCACACACCTGAGTCTGGATCTGTCTGCTGAACAATAAAATGCCTAATTTTTTCCACAAAAGGAATTCACAGTGCAAACAGACAGGATGGCCAGGCTCTGTACACAACACATGACTAAGAGGGGAATACATCTTGAAGATGAAACTAAATCCCATGGAACTATAATGAACCCCCCAAATCACTGAACACTCCTCTTCTTTCTCAGTTTTACTTATCTCTTCCTCAAAAGTTGCCACATTTTTGTGGAGTGAAGATTTCCAAATGTGTGGGAACCATTCCTATATACTTGGGCAACATGGGGTCTGACAGTGAACTCACCACCCTTTTTACTTTTGTTTATTTTGTTCATTTGTTAGGGATTTATATGAGTCTAATTTCTTTAATTTGGCTATTTTAGTTATAGCTGAATAAAACTAAATTATATTTTTTCAAACCCTTTATTGGGCTTTCCCAAAACAGCTTACTCTAAAGAATCACAAAATGAACCTTGACTGCATCTCAGAGTGTGAGCAGTCTTCAAAGAAGGATGTCTACTGGTATTGGAAGAAGTGATCTTTGAGGCTAACCAAAAAACCTACTTGAAAGGTTTCCCTTTCCTTGAAACAGAGTTGTAAAAGAAAATATAAATAGAAACAGCAAGGAAATAATTAAATTGGCAAGAGTATATTTCATATTAAGCTCATCTTTATGACAACTTGAGTTTGATTATCACGATGACGCACTTGCTTTATCTGGATGGGCCGAGAATCCTGCTAATGATGGTGCTCTATAAATAGACACACTCCACAGCCCAACTCAGATCTGACACCTCTTAGTGATCATTTGAAGACTTATCCTTTGCATGTTTTCAAAATGCCAGCTCGATAAACCTAAACTTTGTAGAATTTCTGTGGATGGAAAATTTTAAAGAGTAAACAGATTAACAGATTAACTGCAGGAAGCAAGGACACAAGTAGGGAGGTGTTGCAGACGCTATGCTCTCCAGCTTTTAGATGAATGCTCTCTGGACTGAGAAGTCAGCCTGGCTGGGGTCTGAATCTGTATTTGTCCCTTACAGGCTTTGGTTCCCTCAGGTGTGACATGAGGATCATAAGGCCAAATTTTGTGAGGATCAAGCAAAAGAACACGCGTAATGCCAACAGTGTAGTTTCTGGAACAACTGTTGGTGTGTAAAAGGAAAACTGGATCAAGAGAGAGAGAGTAATATACCAAAATAAAAGCACTTTTAGGAAATATAAACACTCCAAAGGGGAAAAACTCAGGTGACTCCTTATCTATTTTAAGCAAAAACAAGTTCATAAATGAAACACACAATTGCAGATGGTATAAAGTGAATGTCATCAGTTAGTGGCCAAGGCCATTGTGCTGAGCTCTGCTTTTTATCCGGCTGAGACGGTTTCCTGTCCCCGCTTCTCAGCATGGCACTGCCCATGAGCCACTGGCACTGGGAAGCTCAGGCTGTGAACATCCCTACTTCAAACATTTTCCTTTGTGAAAAGGAACAAGCTAGATACTATTCTTAGGAAGAGAAAAAAAAGCTTTTTTCCTATAAGTAAGCTCAGCAAATTTGGCCGTCCCCCACTCCCTGCATCTGCACAAGGGTTTTTTCATTATTCACAGTATCAGAAGACAGAGAAGCATTCTGTGCCTCTCTAGATCTGGACTATGATGGCCTGCTCATAGGGCCCAGTGCTCAAGGATAGCAGGGAAGTTCTACAGGTTACAGCACTTGGCATTTCGAGAGGGTTCTCTGCTCCTTATTTATTTATATGACTGAATAGAGCAACATCTTGAGTCACTGGGCCCTCAACAATGATTAGTAAATTAAAAATGCCCCTGGACATTCAAAAACCATTCAAAAGGAATCTTAAAATTCATGAAAGTGGCCAGGCATGATAGCTCATGCCTGTAATTCCAGCACTTTGGGAGGCCAAGGTGGAAGGATTGCTTGAGTCCAGGAGTTTGAGACCAGCCTAGGCAATACAGTGAGACCCCCATCTCTAAAACAAAATTTTAAAAAATTAGCTGGATGTGGTGGCACATGCCTGTAGTTCCAGCTACTCAGGAGGCTGAGGTGGAAGAATCTCCTGAGCCCAGGAGGTCGAGGCTGCAGTGAGCTGAGATAGTGCTATGACACTCTAGTCTGGATGACAGAGTGAGACCTTGACCTAAAACCACTAAGGCTATAATGTGAATTACCAGTTTTGGCTATAAGATAATGTGGGATGTCACATACCCTGAAGGTTAAGTTTGGCTGTACCTGTTGGAGAAGAGAAATACTGCAAGCCAAGGGGTCACCAAACGGGCAAAACAGATTTCTGCCACTTGGAACAAAAGTGGCTTGTAGTTCTAGAAAGGAAGTAGCTTGCACCAGGAAGAAAGGATAAAGAAGGGTGACTCACACAAGCACCCTGTGACTGCAAGTTAGGAGGAATGTGTGTGCATGCACTAGGACATAAGGTGAGCAGAGAGGAAACAGAAATTCAAGGTCCTGTGTTGGGGGCAGCAACAGCCAGGGAGGCTTCCTTTTGACACAGGACAGATGCTGATGTGTGAGCACTTTGACATGACAACAGGAGCAGTGAGGAGAAGTAGGAAGGCTTGTTCCCATCTCAGCAGTCACCCCCAGTGAAGCCTCCCTGCTTCTCCTGGCCAGTCACTTAGTCACCCTCCCCAGAGCATCTGCAGTACAATGGACACACAGTTCACCATTCTATAATGGGGTTGGGAAGGAGTAGATAGATCCCCCTCCTCTACCAGGTGAGCCTCCTAGATCTGGCCCAGGGGTGCTGAGTACATGTTGACTGGATGGCCAGACCAGAAACCACTCACTGTGAAGCAAGAGGAATGTGAGAGGGTCTTGGTCACCAGAAGACAAAGGGAGGGTGAGCTGAACTCGCTTCCCAACCAAGTGCTGGTGGATCTGAAGACTCAGGCCCATGGACCAGTGTTAGCTGGAGTGATGGGACCTGAAGCAGAAGGCTGGACTGAGAGCCAGGAGGCCTGATTTTTAGTCCTGGCTTTGTCACTAGCAGATTATGTGTGATCCTGGAGAAATCACTTATACCACCTTATCCTCTAGACCTCTGGATTCCAAACGTGGTTGATGATCAGAACCACCTGGAGAGCTTTACACACACACACACACACACACACACACACACACACACACACACGTGCATTTACACACATACATGTGCTCACATGGTCTGATTCACACAGCCCTGATTCAGAAGTTCTGGGGCAGGGCCTGGGAACTGACTCTGGTTAAAGGTCCTGGGTGCTTCTGAAGATCAGCCAGATCTGAATTCCACTGGAACTAGATAACACTCTGGAGGCACTTCTGGTATCAGAGGACAATGGTTTTATGAAACATGCACCAATATTTCACAGAGCCACTTTTCTCCTATACTTTCTCTTGGAGGAGTGACATGCTTCTCTCTCTTCAGATAGGAGAATTGACTCTGCTACTTAAGGGAGGTCAGCACTGCTTCTCACCCCCCATGGGGCACATAGTCCTGGGGCTAGTAACAGGCTCAGCTAAGAGGTGGGGGATCCAGGAGCTCACAGGCTACAATCCAGAATGGAAATGGAGTGTCAGCCCACCAGCACATTCTGCAGGTTAGGCTGAGCCAGACTTCCTCCCTGGATTCCCCTGGATCCAGGCTGTGACACTGGGTTCTATGCTTTAAGGGAATGGGGACTAGTAGGGGCCCCTCAGCACCCTGTTGGTCCCATCAACATAGGCTACTTCTCTCAGGTTCGGCTGGCTCTGTTCCCATCATCCCAACATCCTAACAGCTTCCATGTAGCGAGTGTACTGACTGATTACTTCCTCTGCGCCAGTGCTATCCCAAGTGCTTTGTCACAGATACAGTCACCCTGAGTCCTCATAAGCACCTGAGAAGTGTTCTTATTAGCTCCATGGTACAGATTAGACAACAGGTTTGGAAAGGTTCAGTCATTTGCCCAGGAGTGCAGAGCTAGGAGCCAGGATGCCAGCAGGACAACCTGATCTTGAGGCTATCATTCTTAACCTATCACAAGTTAATCCTTAAGGCTTCTGGAATGGAGCCTCTGCCAGCCCCCTACCTTGCCTTTGGAGAGATAGCAGAGACTCGCAGCCCAAGGCTGCCATGCAGAGCATCTCCTGGCTTACCTTGGCCAGCCTCGCTCGCTTGATGAGGTCGTTGAGTTTGCGCACTGCTGCCTTCTGGGGAAGGCTCTGGATGTCTCTGAAGAGGTCCTGGGCCTCGGCCTCAAAGAGCCGGCGGTTGTCTGTATTCTGCAGGGGTTGTGCCCAGAAGGAGCCAATGTAGACACGCAGCACCTCAGGTGTGTTGATGACTTTGCCCAGAGACCACATGAGGGCCCCGTAAACCCGCATCAGCTGCTGTGTGTCCACCTGGTCGGCCTTGTTCAGTACCACACGGATCTTGTCATCCTGGCCCCGGAAGGCCTTGATGGCCTCTGAGAACTCATCTGAGATGTCCAGTTTGTGAGCGTCGAAGAGCAGGATGATCCTGTCGACCCTCTCAGCAAACCACTGCAGGACCTGGCAGAAGTCGTACCCTGGATAGAGAGAAGGGCACGTCAGTGCAGCCATAGCAGCGGGGGCAGGTCTACCAGGAGGGCTCAGGAATTGCCGTGCCCTCCAGCAGCTGCCAGGGAGAGAGTTCATTTCCAAGCTGGAGGCAGTGCAGCCCTTGTGACTTGACAATCACTTCAAGTGAGGTCTCTGGGCTGCATGAATCTTGTTAATGCCTGGGACCTGGGACAAAGTTAAATGGGCATGGTCACTTTGAGAATTGCTTACTTCCATATCCGTAATTTCATTTAGTCATCACAAGTCTCTTATTTCACCTAGCATGGTTCTCTTGACCAATGGTAAAACCGATCAATGGCTGTAAAAACACAGGCCATGGGCCAAAAATTTCTTGCTTCGGAAATGTCTCACTTTTCCAAAAGCACCAGAGTTGGAAAAGGAAGAGAACTGGGAGCCATCTAGCACCCCAAAGGGTGTCTGGTAAGTATAACAAAAGAGGAATCTCCTTCTCTTAACGCATGTTTGTAGAGTGTTGAGGAGGTCAAAGGCCGTCTGGCCAATGTTGTGGCCAATATTTATTATTTGGACTATTTATAGCTCAAGTATGTTATAAATATTTCTTTAAAATTATGTCTCACAGCCATTCTGTGACATGGTCTCTTGCCAACTTCTTTTTTAAAGCAATCACAAAAAATTCTGTTTGGCCCTCTCTGGCCACCTACCAATGAGTAGCAAATCATGCAGCTGAATAAACACTCTCCAGTCTGAGGTCAAGACTCTCAGGCATTTCCCCAGGGAGGCAGATTCCCATGGAAAGCAAACAAGGAGAGGCTAATCCCGCAAAGTTTACTTTTAATCTCAGTCCAATTAACTTCAGAATAAGAGTCTAATCCAGCCTAGCTAGTGCTGAGACGTCACCTTTCCTGACCCCTTTTCTTTTAGATTTTGAAAGCTTTCAAACATACATAAACATCGAAAGAGGAATAAACTGAATGCTGAAGTGCCTACCACATAACCTTAACAAATTCTGACACTTTGCCTTGTTTGTTTCAGATACTTTTGAAAACTAAGTCTAGTTTATTTCTATAACAAGATACCACACAGTGGTGAGAATGAACTAGACCTTCAGGTGTCAACACAGATAAACCTTCCTCCCCTCCAAAAAAAAGAGTTGAAAATCAGTTTCAAAAGGACATGTACAGCATAACAGTCATGTAAACTGTTAACATACAAAATACTCGACAATCTACGGATACAACCTACAGCACAAATACAAAAATGTTAACATCAATTGTAGAGACCAAATGGCTCATGCTTGTAATCCCAGCTACTTGGGAGGCTGAGGCAGGAGGTTCACTTGAGCCCAGGAGTTCAAGTGAGCCATGATCACCACTGCCAAAAAAAAAAAAAAAAAAAAAAAAAAAGGCCTGGCTCGGTTCGAGACCAGCCCAGGCAACTTGGCAAGACCTCATCTCTACAATAAATCAAAAATTAGCCGGGCGTGATAGCATGTCTGTAGTTCTGGCTACTTGGAAGGCTGAGGCGGAAGAATCGCCGCAGCCCAGCAGGTCGATGCTGGGGTGGCCGTGAGTGTGCCACTGCACTCCAGCCTGGGCGACAGAGTGAGACTCCAACTCAAAAAAAAAAGTAGGACACTGGTTGGCTCTGGGGATAGAGGAAGTGTGGGATCTAAGGCAGACGACAAAATATCTAGGGGAGAATGATCTATTAGGCAAAAATAAAGGGGGTCCACAGACTAAAGTTTCCATGCTTTTCAAGACCAGGTGTCAGAGGAATAGCTGAACAAGCAAACTGTACTCAGAGACATTTCTAATAAAGAAAAGAAAATATTTGGAAGTGCCGAAGCCCTGTGCACCCCTCCCCAGGCCCTTTCCTCCCTTCCTACCCAGAGGAAACCACTGTCCCCAATGCGGTGTTTACACCACCATGCATGTGTGGTACTTCCAGCTCATGCTTTTCACTTCTCTATTCTATCTCACTATGGTGCTCCTCAGTTTTGTGGGGACAAGGAAGACAAGGTAGTTCTCAGACTGTGGCCCAGAGTTTATTTTCATTGTAGTCAGCAGCCAGTTTAGATCCAAGGAAAACCAAAGACCTACTGAAATGGACATACATGGTAAGTAAAGGTTTAGGTTCAAGATTTTACTGAGTTCTGTCCTCGTAAGGCCAGAACAGACTACCTCCAGTAACAGTAAGTGCTGCTGACATTCGAGGCTGACTTGTGTACCAGACAGCCCCAGATCCTAGATCATGGGATTGTAGATCTTTAGCTGATGAATGAACTGGCTGTTCCTTGGGTGCCAGGAAGAAGATTTGGAACCACCTGCAAAAGCACCTGCATGGGGACTTACTTTTCCAGACTACTCTCTTGCTTGGCAGCATCAGGTATCTGACGGTTTGGAAACAGATGAAAGAAAACGCTGTGTCTGGGGTATACAACAGAGGGGACATGAGCTGTTTTTTGCTGTATGCCTTCCTGTTGTGTGTGTGTTGGGGGTGTGTGTCCTGCATGGGTCATAGAGTTGAAGGAGTGGCAGAAAGTCCCTTGCCCCATTCCTTAGCAGGCTGGGGCACAGGCAGGCTATCTAGAGGTGGCCATTCATCTCCTTCCACCAGACTGGAGGGTTGAACTTTAAGGAAATGATGCAAAGACACAGGGAAAATAAGAGTTTATTCATGGGAGTTCTAAAGCTAGTTCCCCAACCTTCCCATTAACTCTGTGAATGACCTGATTCTCCAAAAAGTTTCTTTTCTGCTTAAGTTAGCTAGATTTAACTTCTTTGGTTTGCTACCAAGAACCACAACAGGTAGACAATTTCCCCCCACATTTTTTTTTTTTTTAGTTGGAGTCTCACTCTGTCGCCCAGACTAAAGGGCAATGACCGCTCCTGGCCACCGCAGCCTCGACCTGCTGGGCTCCGGCGATCCTTCCACCTCAGCCTTCCAAGTAGCTGGAATTACAGGCGTGCGCTACCACGCCCAGCTAATTTTAACAGCTCTCTTATTATCAGTGCCAAAAGAAACCTGCCAGCCCAGGCAGAGAAGCTGAAATACAGCTGTCACCACCTGTGCTTGTGCCCACACAGCCGTGCAGAAGTGGGTATCGCTTCCTGCCAGAGCTGTCTGGGTTGAGTGGTTGGCAACTCATGTGTTTAAACTTAAATATGGATTCCTAACAGTTAATTTAAGTGTTTAAGAATGATTCCATTCCAGTGCTGTAGTGAAATCAGTTACAGGGAGCAGATCTACCAGATATAAGTTTAGCATAAGTGAAGTCAAAAGGTATCTCGGGAGGGAGGGCTACATGTCCATACTTACTTGTTTTAAAGCAACAATGCGAGCTTAATAAGGCTAAGAAGTACAGATAGGTTAGAACGGTGTTTTGTTTGGTCGTTGAGAGGTATAAAGGACTGCTTGTCACACACTGGACAACACAATGAAAGGAGTAGAAATCACCAAATGTCAAGAAGTGAGCAAAGCTGGAAAAGACTAGCTTGCTCAATCCCACCCTTGTGGATATTATTTTTTAAGTGCAATGGCATTAAATAGGTTCATATTTTGCAACCATCACTACCACCCATCCCCAGAACTTTCTCATCTAATTGGAACTCTGAACTCATTCATCAGTAACTCTCTTTCCCCTCCTCTCTCCAGTCCCTGGCAACCTCCATTCTATTTTTGTCTCTATGAATTTGGCTACTCTAAATTCTTCATATAAATGGAATCATATAGTATTTGTCCTTTTGTGTTTGGCTTAGTTCACTTTGCATAATGTCCTCAAGGCTCATCTGTGTTGCAGCATGTGTCAGAACTTCCCTTCCTAAGGGTTGGCTCTGCTCAATTGTTATATCATGAAGGACTCGGCACCAAATACCTAGCTACCAAACATCGCCAGTGGATCTAACTCTCATCAGCATGTTCTTTAGTCTTCCTGCTGAAAGAAAACAGTGATTCAGAAGGATCTAGAGACCACTGATCCTCACAGTCTGTTCTTACGTGACAATTAAATAAGGAGCTTACTAAAACTGAGACTCCCAGGCCCCTCCCCGGAGCCACCGAGTCAGAATCCCTGGGACTGGGTTTGGCAATTTGTACTTAGAAGCCCCTAGGTGACTGTGATGCACAGTACAGTTTGAGGACCACTGTCTAGACCGAATATCAAGGCTTAGGGTTGTGCAGACATGTTTATGTTCTTGTTGGCTAGCAAAACGAAAACAAATAGTATAACTATTTCTACACTACAAAAAATAGTTTTATTTTATCCCAAAGAGTTACCAACAGATGGGTAGAGAATGTATCATAGAATTAAGGAAACACAGAATTTAAATATGCTTATTTGAAGATAGATTTTAAAATTCATGAAAGCTCTGCCTTTGTCCTGACTGGATCTTGCCCCTAGTAAACGCTTCCCCTAGAGTCTATAACCTAGAAAATGAGTCTAAATCCTAGTCAGTCTTCAAAATGCCTAGGATAGCCTTGATTAAGTTACATTTTACTTAATTTTAAGCCCCAGTTTTCTCAACTGTAAAGTCGGATTGTTTAGTGATTATATGAGAAGATGCTTCTAACAATAAGCATGGAGGTTAAGTCAACTTTCAGTAAATATGAGCTGTTATTATTATTTCCTCCCCCACCCACCATAGGTAGACTCAATGCTCCCTCTTCTGAGCCCCCAGAGCACTTGCCTGGGTTTCTATGGCACCACTTCATGCAGGATGTTACAATCAGATGAGTGGACTGGTCTCTCTCATTAGATTATCAATTCTCTAACAGAGACCTCATGGTCACAAGATAGTGGTAGACAGTGTGGGCTTCAGACACAGACTACCCGGGATCTAATCCTGGTTCCATCACTTACTAATTCTGTGTCCTTAGGAAAGTTACTTGACCTCTCTGTGCCTCATTTCCTCATCTGTAAAATGGGGCTAATAATAGCATCCACAGACCTTAGGGGGCTGCAGAGATAATCCATGTGAAGCATTATAATCATCTTGGCACCTAGAAA